TTCACTAACTTAATGTGCAAAGGTAGCTTTAACACTTTTTGAGTATAATGTTGAGTATAATGCTTAGCAACCGCTCTGATATCCTATAAGCACAAATAACACGGATACTTTGTATATCCGCTTTGAAGTCCCATCAAAAATCCCACCATTTTAAAATTTCCAATCAGCTGCCAGTTATACTCGCGATATTTTACAAATTCAGGCAAAACTTTAACACTTCCATAATTTTCTTTAGGATGTACTGAATGAGCGATTGAAAGAGATGGGAATTTATTTTCGTTGTGTAATAAAACAGATTTTAAGCTTTTCGTGGAACTGTCAATGAATACACGCCATTCGCAAGGTATGCCAATTTCTTCAGACATACCTTTTATGCCATTGCAAAAACAAGGTCCATCTTTTTTTGTGAATGAAAGTGAATATTACTGGGGTTTTTCCCAATACCAAACCGTTATTTTAACATCTCGACACGTGTTTCAATCACCAAGTGATCATCTTCAAAAGGAAGATTAATCATCTTCAAGACAAAATAATTTAATACAAGTAGATGAGGCAAATTATAAAATTAATTTAAAGCACTCAAGACGCAGGTACCTGAAATAGGTATCTATGGTATAAATAGGGATAGCTTTGTAAGTATGATTAGTGTAACCTTCCTCTTGAAGATGATCATTTGGTGATCGAAACACGTGTCGAGGTGTTAAAATAACGGTTTGGTGTTGGGAAAAAACTCCAGTAATATTCATCTTTACACCAAAGGTTCCAAAGAGTGCATCGCTGTGTGTTTGTAAAACGCTATTATTGAAATATTGGAGTGGATTCATTACAACTTGGATCCCATTCATGTGAAAAAACTCTCAGCCTGGCGTTATTTCACAATTCATGATATTATCAATTATGGTATGTTAGCCTCTTTGTGAAATGATTCGTTTGTGCTATATTCTTCCTTTCTTTCTTTTTCTGTTGATTTGATTTAATTTATTGATTCATTATTCTATTTGCTGTCTTTGACTTCTTTCTTGAGATTAGATTGAAGCGCAGATGTATGTTAATTGTTGAATTATATTTCATATTGTACAATACTCATTATTAGCTACATACAAACTGAATCTTGCCCTAACTGCATAAACAAAATGTGATTTAGTTTTTAATAATTGGTAATAAATACATTTTTTTCCGTAGTATGTGCTGGTCAGGCCCTATTCCCCGAAGTCCCGATACATTCGGGAGGGCGCGCCAGCATTATCAACCAATGACCACTCCTCATGCCTTCTGCATCTGTCAGGCTAAGATTTCTGCCTTAGTGCGGCAATTCGGTATGATTTTAAGATTCGAGAGTAGAGAGGACGGACATCATTCCCCCAAGGATTCCAATAATCAGAACAACCATCTTGACAGAGTGGTCTGGATAGAGTATGCGGAAGATGAAGAGAAAATATCGATATTTTATCTGTTTTTCCTCCTCTTTTCGGACGATATTTGTCTCGCTAGGAGCTGAAAACTCCACAACAAATATTGTCTGGCTCTGGTGGTCGAGTAGGACTACATCAGGCTTATTAGCTTACATGAACCTGAGGATGGGGAAGGAATAGTTCCAATTATTTTGGCACTTCTCATTCCCCTCAACGGATTCAATATCCCCAGGAGCGTATGGCAACACTGGTAACTCTTCAATACCGTAAGACTACCGTAGATGGTATTATAGTACTCTTAGGGCCGCGTTATGTCGATGGATATAGGCCGAGACCGCATATGCTGAACATGGTGATAGCAAGTGCATTAGGGTCTCGGACGCCTCGCGGCAGGCCCTGCACCTTGTGTCAGGAACCTCTATACCCATCACGCGACTGCGGTAGACTAAGGTGTTGAAGATACCATCCTGGCAAGCCATGATGAACCCCTCAGTTTCCGACTTCAGCCCACTCGACCTGAGGTGTTCAATGTTATTGAAGAAGACACCATGCATTGGCAAATCCTTGTGTTGCCGCAGAAGTGAGGTGATCTCTGCGGCTTTTATATGAACCTTTTGCTGAACGGGTTATTATTATTTATTATTGTTTTACTGTTTTCTTTTTTTAATTGTATGTTTGTTAACTCCTGAGTATGTAGATGTTCACAACCTAGTGATGGAAATAAGTCTGTCTATTCATATAACTCATGGGCGTAGCAAGGTATGGGCAGGTAGAGGCAGCTCCCTCCTTAGAAGAGCGGTCTTTCGCTGGTAAACTGTAATTCTGACGAGCTTCATAGCTTGCGACGCGTCTTATAAGATTTAAGAAACTGAAAGGCTGGAACGCTTGTGAAATCCAACAATACGGGATGTGATTCCCAACATAACTTTTTTTAACAAAGATATCAAATCAAATCACAATGTACTTTATTGTCGAAGATAAGAAGAATAAAATTTGTCTAAAGAATAATAAGCCTTTGAAATCAGAACAATCTTTTTACGGACTTTCTGAATTTAGTGGTTCATGTTATGCCTTTGATCTTAATTGGCAAATGGTTAAACGTGTTTTTTCCAATATATATATAAAATACCTCCCAATTTTTGATGATATTTGAACCGGTAAACTTATATTGAGCTTATTTCTTGTATTTCGTCGAGGTGAACTGAAAATCCCCCCCCTTTTTTTGCATCAGACAAACCATTTCTAAGATAAGTGTGGAAGACAAGGTCGAGATTTTATGTCTTGTGAATACACATATTTCTAACTCCTGTTTTTTGTATTAGAAACACCCTATCAAACATATCTTGGCAACACGTTCTAGATACCATAACGCAGATGGAAATCAATGAGGGCAGAGTACACATTTTTCGCTATACAATCATTTGTTGATACTCTGCAAAGCATCTTGATGATTTTTTTACATAGGTTATTTATGTGACCTTCAAAATCCAAAGGTTTATCTATTTGTAATCTCAAAAATTTTGCTGAAATTTTGTTTACTATTAATTGAGTACCTAGGTGAATATCCAGTTTAGAGCACTTGAGGATGATGATGCTAGTTTTTGAGATATTAAATGATAGAAGATTAGCATCACATCAGTCTTTTATTTTTATAATATCCTTGCTAATCAAATCATGCAGTTCCCTTCCATTCTCGCAATGCCAAAATAAACGATGTACATCTGCGAATTGGGTTATTTTTGCAAATATATAAATGCGGACTAGGTCGTTAATATACAACAAGAAGAGAATTGGGCCTAGAACCGATCCTTGTGGAATACCACAAGTAACTGTCTGGGGATGGGATATCTATAAAAGAGAATGCTGCAGCAAGAAAAAAATGCTTTTTAGTTACATTGTGCTACTACTACATCCAAGTTCAATGTTGAATATAACGCTGGTTGTTTTTGAAGAAAAATCTTAAGATTTCGGCCAGTGCTATGATTTTCCTCTTATATAGCTCATTTGAAACTCATATGTTTAAAACAACGTTCAAAACAATATAATCCAGGATTTTCTTTCTCTACCCCCTCCTCCCTATGTACAATATTGGCTACGCCCTTGATATGACCTGCTACAAACATTATGTATCCTAGTTAAATAAATTATTTAGCTATCTATCTATATTGATATTCATTGTGTAGTGAAGTTTCATAATACTAGGAAGTTATTACACCAAAAAAGTTTTAGAGCACTTTTTGAGCATTGACGGACTTCTAGCCAAAATGAGCAATTTTGGGTACTCGAAACAAATGGTAAGACTGATTGAATGTTTTCTATAAGACCGACGATGCCGTTGCAGAGTTAGATACAAACTCTCTACCATGCGACTTCTGGAAGCAGAAGTCCCACAAGGTGCAGTTCTTTCCCCACACCTCTTCTTGGTATATACAGCAAACGTGCACGAGCCAGAGAATAACTTCAACAAGTTGGCACTCTACACGGACGACACGGCTCTACTGGCCAGATCCACTAGCCACGCGTAAGACACCAGATACTTGCAACAGCAAGCGGACAGATTAGAGGAAAGGGCCAACCTTTCGAAAACCAGTATAAACCCTGACGAGTCAGACGATACTGTTTACCCAGAGACATTTCCTTCCGGGTATACCAGAACACCCGGAAGGAAACGTCATCTTCAACGGAGAAGAGATTCCGTGGACCAACGAAGCAAAATATCTGGGAGAGACCCTCGACAGAAGACTGACGTTTAGGTCCCACATACGGCAGAGACTAGGGCTGACGAGAGCCGCCCGACAAAACCTATACCCTATCATAGGCCGCAGGAGTAACATGGGTCTCCATGTGAAAGTGCTTCTCATCGAGACCGTACTACTTCCTATGACGCAGTATCCAGACGTTCATGAACGCTTGCTTGCGAGCTGCCGTAAACGCTCCAAGATGCATGCCTATCAGATTCATCTACCGGAACCTGGACCTTAACATCCACTGCACAGCGGCACACTTGAGAGAGCACGCCGAAAACGTAATCGAAAGAATACGAACACACACCAGTCCAGCGCTGCGTGACCTACATGAAGCGCTCAACAGGGACGACACCAGATTTGGCGAAAAGGATAAACACATTAGGCCCACGAAGAAGAACCAACGACCACAGGAGGTCAGATGTCAATCTTGCTGAAGTGTAAATCAGCAGGTTGAGGTCCACTTAGGAATGAATGGAGGTGGATGGACGAAATTCTAAATTCTACACACAGTAACCCTGTGGGGAAGATTCTATCTCAGGACACTCAACCCCAGGGGGGGTGGCATGGTGGGTCAAAATTTACTCATATCAAAAATGAATGAATCACCGGAAGTTTGTAATTTTCACCTTGAAGATATGAGGAAACACTGTAATATCAAAAAGTACATATATATGTAAATGTATAGTGCTTGGATCATATGCGGTGTCGCATAATGCGAAAAAATTCATCAATGTTTATGCTATCGAACAAAAACGATGATAATCTCAATCACGACAAATGACGCCACCTTCTGAAATTTTCAATAAAAATATTACTTTTCAGGGAAAAATGTTTGTACTTACAGCTGAGTCACTGCTGATACCTCTTTGATAATAATCTTCTTCATCTTTGAATATTTCTGGTAAGTGTATTCGTTTATGAGCGCCATCATTGTACCCTAACCTCAATCCGTAATGTTTGTCTAAAATACAGTAGGATATCCACTTAGCTGCTTCATTTCCACAATCAAGAATATTCACAGGTTCGTTTTTGTAAAACCTTTAAAATGAGAAAATTTACATTTTTTGTTGTTTCAGATTTGATTGTTGATAAAATGATGAGGTACAAAAGTATCGGTAAATAACCAAACTATTAGTTTTCCCAAAACTTTCCATATATATACAGTGTGGACTCAGAAAGTCTTCTTCAACCCTTAACTTTTGAAAGCATCATTATTAATAATTTTTGATGAAAATAACAATGCTGTGATGTCGCCGAAAGAATGCTATCAATTTCTTTCTAAAAAAAATAGGGAGTCGTTTGACAGATATTTCAGTTTTCTATTCAAACTGATTTTCTTTTGATTAATTGCCAGTTTTATATTTTTTCAAGATTCTGCAAACGAATGAGAAATGCTAGATGAGAATTATCCAAAGGAGTGAATATGCAGATGTGTTTTCTAATCAGCCGATATGGCCTTTTGAAATCTGAAATATATGTCATACAAGTGCCGTCTATTCCAGAATTCATGATTGCAACGAAATTATGACAGAAACATGCCATAATATAAGAAATGAATTTGTAAACATATTCTATGAAAGAGAGGATTTTGGCAGATCAAGATCTTCAGATGATGTGGTGGTGCTGGTTTTTCCGGATTTTCCTGCAACGGAAAAAGCAAATACGCCACTGGAATTAATTTTTGTTGTTTCATAATTTCACAATTTGTATTATTTTTTTATATGTTTCTATAATTAAAATTCCCATAACATATTTCATTATTATCAGGTAGTGATTGGTGAACATTTTGAGCAGGATTTGGTGTTAATTGAGTTTTGAATAAATTTTTTCTAAATTTATGATATTTATCATGTTTGCAGATATTGAAAAAGTATTGAACTGCTAATTACTCTGAATTGGTCCGGTTTAAAAAAACAGTGTTCAAAAGGAAATTGAAAATTTTATAAAACAAGGTATCGCAAGATCATCCCCCTTATCCCGTTGACTTTTATTTCACACTGTATATGAAAAACTGTTGAGCACATTATTGATTCGAAGCACTATGGATTTGTTAAAAGTAGAAGTGTGAAAACCAATTTGTTATGTGACTCGGAATATATTCATGCCGATCATGGTCAATTATAAATGCAAATATTCTGATATATAGTCAGTTTATGCTTTACAATGACGACCTGAAAGTATTTTGAAAAAGCATATGTTCCTAAGATTGCTAGAATCCTCAGAACGTGTTGTGAAGACCATGAAAAGTTCCTAAATCATTCGAAATGTAGCTCTGTTACTTACACATGAAATATTAATGTCCTTAACTATACCTACTCTTTAGAAAATGGCACCTTGAAGATGATAGACAGAATTAGAGACTTGGGTATCATTCAATAGAAAATTATTATTCCTTACATATCATGACAATGTGTGAATGTTAAACATACAGTAACAGTAATCAAAATGAGTTTGGATACTGTACATAATAAGAAAATGACTATTTCGAAGTCAAATTTTTTCCAAAGTACCAACACCATGGGTTCTAGTTCATCCAGAAGCAGGACCATGCTGAAATCAATCGAGTAAATCACCTACAGACCGGTTTTGAGGTATTATATCTCATCAGTGCAGGAAAGAAACGTGGACATTTTTCATTTTCGCCAAAGATAAAGCTATATGTTTAATATGCTCAGAGACTGTGTCGACATTAAATACAGGGTGTAACTGAATAAGTGTAAAACATTCAAAAAGGTGATTCCTCATCGAAAAAAAGATAGGATCTTTCATATGAAGAAATTTCATTGGAGCATTCCTTGTTAAGATACAGCCCCTGAAAGGGGGTACATAAAATTTGTATAACAATTTTTTTCACAAGCACT